GAGTATTCGACAAATGGTTATAGGGGAGACAGCCTAATCCAAATAATCCCATGGAGTACTGTTCAACTATACCACCCTTGCAACAGTTAGCTGGCGGATTGCCTCCACCTCCTACAGTTATGGTACCAGTTGGAGTCCTTAAAAGGGAAGATGGTACAAAAAATCGGCCTGAAATTTCAAAATCTGTTATGTTCAGTGATGGTAAGTAAAAACTATATATATACTATTCATATTTGTTCAAATTAAAAAAAATGTTTTATTAATTTATTAGGATTTGTTAATTATTTATTAGGATTTGTTTTTATTGTAAAATTAAATATTTCAGTTTTTAAATATTTTAAAATATAATGATTATAAACTATTTATGCATAAATATCATAAACTAATAAATATTTCATGTTATAAAAACATAAATAATTTCATAACTTATAAATAGTTTAATATTTAGTGATTAATGTGTTGTAATATTAATAACTTTATACAATAACTCTACACACTTTAACACACCTTGTTATAGTATTTTTAGTTCTTTGAGTTAAAGTTATATTTCCTCCTCTGTCCAAGTTATTATTATTTTTTATCTTTTATCCTTCAAATATTTCACCTTTTCACTGAACCTTTTCCTTCCTATTTGTTTTGGTTTTATGCACCTCTAACTAAAACACAGGAATAAGGCCTGGCTGTGACCTGACAGAACTAGACATGTCGTGGGATATGAAACCACCATATCGGAAATCTGGAAGCAAGAGGATACCTACACCTGGTTCATCTATGCCAAGTACTTCTGTCAAAAAACAAAATCTACCACGTTTGGATCCAAATACTGAAAGCTATGTGCCACAAGATCCTAATGCCCTTCCACCAACTGTAACAATACATAAAGGACGTATGTATTTTTGAATTTATAAAATAAAGCTTTTTGTTAGTATTATATAATATATATATTCAATTTATAAAACAGAAGTGTCATACCATGCTGTAACGAATGAGAATCTTCTCTACAAAACATTGAAAAATGAATGTGAACCACCTGTTATGTTTGCTATTAATAGGAATCTCTATGCTTATGTCAAAATATTGACTTGTAAGTATACTTTCTGTCTATCTGTTCCTCTTTCTCTCTTTTTCTAATTTAAGAAAATTATTTTTAGTAAATTGTTGTGTTAATAAAACGTGTTGGAATATAACATCAAAAGGATTGGATTGTGTTGGACAAGACGAAGTTATATTATTGATCGAAGTATTGCCTGATGAAACCCGAGTTCCTAAAGATCTACTTCTTTTCATTAATCAATTACATCTCGAAGCTATGAAAGGTATTATTTATATTTTGCTCTAATTAATTTATATTGTTTTATATTCATTATTTTTTTTATACAGGAAATACTGTGTCCGAATTGGGATTTTCAATATATCAAGGAGGAAATTTTTTGGATTCTCGAGAACATGCAGGATTTCTATTTATTCGACAAACATTGCAATGCTTACAAAAAATTATATTACCTCCTGCTCCATTTCTAATTGGTCTTCTAGTTCACAGGTTTGTTTTTTTTTTTTTTTTTTTTTAAGAGTTTTTTTATAATATAAAATAACCATTAAATGTTTATTAATTCATTACTTTCAATTTATTTAATTTCTATAGATGGGAAACACCATGGGCGAAAGTATTTCCGTTACGTCTTATATTACGACTTGGAGCAGAATATCGTTATTATCCTTGTCCATTATTCTCAGTTCGGTTTCGAGATGCGTTATATTTCGAGATAGGACATACTGTTATGAAAGTTTTAGCAGATTTTAGAAATTTTGCGTACACGTTACCAGGTGTAAGAGGATTAATAATTCACTTGAAAAATAGAATGACAGATGTAATGTTTCCAAGAAATCGATATGATCAAGTGATTAAAGGTTTAAATAATTCAAATGATCACGTATTAGCATATGCTTCAAATTTTAGCATTGATGCTGATTCACATTTAGTCTGTATACAAACTAATACTGGTGATGAAAGTAGTTATCAAACACAAGCAATAAGTATCAACAATAATCCAAGGACAAGTACGTATTTGATTCAAAAATTTACATATCACTTTTTTGAATATTTGAAAAAAATTCTTTTAATCAATATAGTAACAGGCACCAGCTTTATTGTTATTAATGGAGCATTGAAATCATCAATGGGTCTCTCTGCGAAATCTAGTATAGTTGAAGATGGATTGATGGTAGAAATAATGCCAGAAAAAATGGAAGCTTTAAAGGCAGCTTTAAAAAATATGCAAGATTTTTCTATTGGATGTGGTCGACAAGGAGCACCTGAACCTGATGAAACAGTGAATATAAAATGGGTCGATAATGACGTGCAATTTAATTTAGGGTAAGCGTTTTATAATTAATATTTATTTAAGTTATTTATTTAAGTTGATTATCTGTTTTTTAGAGTTAAAAGTCCTATAGATGGACAACCGATGGATGGTATTCCTTCAATTAGAGTACATAATGGTATTGATTATAAGGGAACAAGTAGATTCATTCGGTGGACAGAAGTATTTATTATTAATGTATGTTTAAAATAGAATATATTTTAAATTGTGAATTGCTTATATTATTTATAATATATAATATTAAACATTTTTTTTTTTGAAGTCCGATGATCATCCGAATGGCGTTTATGATCCAGTGGATATAAATAAATTATCAGGAAACATAGCAAAAGCAACGTGTACAGCTTTAGTGAAACTATTGGATTTATTAGCCAATGCTGGTTTAACAAAACTTGGTGTAAGAACAACTATTCATCCCGATAACGTAAGTATATTATAATAACTTAATAGTTGTAAAAAAAATAATTTATATATAACATATATAATTTAATCATTTTTAAAACTTATATAATCTTTAAGAATTTAAAATAATTCTGAATGTAACAAAAGAAATATAATTAAATTATAATAATACTAGGTGGGTTATGAAGCTGGTAGTGAAGGTATGAAATTGCCTCCAATCTACATGAACAGTTTGGACAACGAATTAATTCAAGTCCTGCATAAAGCAGCACAAAGCAGTCAAGACACACATACTGTGCTTGAATTAATTTTTTACATACTCGACGATTGAAATCTTGTTCTGTTCATTCTTGTTAACGATTTTATTAAAATAACATTATAGAAATATGAAGGTCGCGATGTTTGTACACACCCGAAATGTACAATTAAAGACTCGTGGAATCATTGATAAATAGAACTTTTAAAGAAAAAATATTTTCTATCCGAGTACTAATCACCTATATAAATAATGAAATACCAGAACAGCGCTTATGTTATGAAAATATATTGCATTATGTTCGAACATAATTATAACGAACGATAAAAAACAAAAATTGTAAAATTTAAAGCTAGAAATGGAATTTGTTTTAAATTACATTAGCTTTACTCCTTAGGATTCTGGAATTCGAATCTGTTTTAAAAAAAATTAATATTATTACATTTTTTGTATATCATATATACATATAAATTTTATAAAAAAAAAAACAATAATGGAAAATCCTTTGCAACTAAAATCAAAATGAAATACTATTATTTGTTATTGTGTAAATATATTTGTTTTTGTTGTTATTCATGTAATATGTGTATAATGATAGTTAATAATACTTTTTTTGTCAAAAAAATATTAAAAATATTAATGTAATAAACTGAAATATTTTTATTTATTTATCTTTTTGCATTATAATAAAAAACAAAATTTTATATTATAAAAATTTTTTGATAAAATATTTTTAAATATTTCAAATTAATTCGTTTTTTGTATCATGTACGTTAAATATTTTTAATATTAATAGTGAGATACGAATTATTGTACTTTAAATAATTAATTAAGGACTTAAGGTTTAAAGCTAATTTAAATTAATTATTATATAAGTAAGTACTATGATCATAACACAAGGAAATTTATAATTTAATTCAATATTATTTATTCAAAATTACATATTGATAAATTTTCTAAAACTATTTATAAAATTTTACTTTAATTTGATTTCATACTTGTATTCATATGTATCTTGTCAAATTTTGTAATTTTTTTATTAATTGAAATTTTTCTATTTTAAATTTGATTTTAACAAAAAAATGAAATCTATAATATTTGAATAAGAAAAATTTAAATATAAAAATATTTATCATGAATATTTATAATAGTAATTGCTGATAATGATCTGTAAATATGTATAAAAGTTAAGTACTATTTTATTATATATATTTAATTCTATAAATTTTCTTTTTCAAAATAATTACTAATTTAATTATTATGGATAAAAAATTTTTCTTGCTTTAGAATACATTTTAATAGTTTAATTTTTTGCTCTATTTTATAACATTTTAATAAATTAGATAGTATTTTAATATTTGATGCTTTGCCAGATGAGTGGTAGGTACTTATATGTCTAAATTTTATTGAAATACCAAAAATTTATAGTAAAAATGTTCAATTTCAATTAGAAAACAGTGAAAAACTAACTTTCTCTATTGTTGTAATCAATATAATAATAAATATATAAATGTTTATATTTGTTATTAAAAAATTGGAAAGAAAAATCCACATATTTTATTAATATATATAATTATAGAATTTTATTTTTTATTGCTTGCATTGCAAGATTTTTCTAAAAAAATGTTTAATATAATAAGCCATAGAATCAAGGCAATTACAAATAAATTTACTTGACTGTAAGGAATTGTATACATTATATTTAAAATATTTAATTCGTTAATGCAAATTAATTAAAATTTGTAATTCGAAGAAAAATGTGTAAATAAATAAAAAAATTGTGTGGATAATTATTTTTGTTTTTATTTTTGATCATGTTCGAAAGAAATATATTTAAAATATGTATAATATATATTTCTATTTTTATATAATATTGTATATATGTGTTTCATAAATTATATGTATATTTCTTAAATTGTAGCGCGTAAAGAATCAAATGGTAAAAAAACAAAAATAACTATAATATCATTTTGTTATCATATTCTCTAATGTGCGTTAAAAATGAAAATGTCAAACAACTTTATAGAATGTTTTATAGAATGATAATATTAGTAAATATGATAATTGAATGAGAAAAACGATTTTAATCGTTTTTTTCTATATTAAAATTAATAAACTATGCTAGTTTTGCTATTGACAATTAATATGATATGATCATGGCGGAATCTACGAAGAAGACGGAGGATGATAAAGTTAAGTGTAAAATTTTAATTGTTGGAGCTGGAATGGCTGGATTATCAGCTGCAAATCATTTATTAAAAAATCACGAAACTGATTTCATGATTGTTGAAGCACGAGGTCGAATAGGTGGTCGTATAGTTGCTACCAAAATCGGTGAGTTTCTACTTAACCTATTTCAGAATTTTATTAATCAATAAAAGTTCGATTCTTCATTTTAATTTTTAATTTTAACGAATTTATTTATCTTTTTAAATACATTATCACACATATAACATATAATAGAAGTGTTGACTTTTTATTTGTATTTGTATTATTCAATCATTATTATATGACAGAACATAAAAATATAGATTTAATTAAAGATTTTATTTTTATTTTATTTAAATTAATTTTTAATAAATGCTCAAAAAGATTTTAGATATAAAATATAATAAAATATCTTTGAATTAATTGTTTATTTTTTAGTTAGAATTTTAATTTTATTATGGAAAACCAAATATAAAATTATATTGAATATAAAAATATAATTTCTTGAGTTTTAATTATGGGAATAATTATACTTAAACAATTTTGAATTTTAAATTCACATCCACTTTAATACAGGCAATGAAAAGGTAGAATTAGGAGCAAATTGGATCCATGGAGTCCTAGGGAACCCAATGTTTGAATTAGCTATGGCAAATGGATTAATAGATATTATACGCGTACCAAGGCCTCATAAAGTTGTAGCTGCTATGGAAGATGGAAAACAATTACCTTTTCCAATTTTGCAAGAAATTTATGAAGCTTATGTGTGTTTTTTAAGAAGATGTGAGGAATATTTTTTAAGTACTTATAGTCCCCCAGATGGAATAAATAGTGTTGGAGCACACGTGGCATTAGAAGCTGAGATATATTTATCCACCTTATTACCTGAAGAAAGAAAAATTAGGCAATTATTGTTTGATTGCTTACTTAAAAGAGAAACCTGTATTACTGGCTGTGATAGCATGGAAAATGTTGATTTGTTGGAAATGGGTTCGTATGCAGAACTTCAAGGTGGAAATATTAGTCTTCCAGATGGATATAGTGCTATATTAGAACCAGTTTCAAAGCATATACCAAAAAGCAGCATTTTGACTAAACATGTTGTCACTAAAATTAGGTAAACAGAGCTTGAAATTGGTTTCTTATCAATATTAAATTTGTGTTGTGCATTCTCACACAAATATATTAATTATAGGTGGCAAAAAAAGAAATGTATGGACAATGAAAATTTTAATAACTGCTCTAATACAAACCCATCTATTGAAATACAGTGTGAAAATGGGAAAATAATATTAGCTGAACATGTGATTTGTACATTGCCATTAGGAGTACTTAAGGAAAAAGCTAATGATATATTTGAACCACCCTTACCAAATTATAAATTTGAAGCTATAAATAGACTTCTATTTGGTACTGTAGATAAAATATTTTTAGAATATGAAAGACCATTTTTAAATCCTGGTGTATCAGAAGTAATGCTTTTATGGGATGACCGAGGATTGTCAGAAGAAGAAAAGCAAGATATCAGTAAAACATGGTTCAGAAAAATCTATTCATTTACAAAAATTTCAGAAACTCTTTTACTGGGTTGGATATCAGGAAAAGCTGCTGAATATATGGAAAAATTAAGTGGAGCAGAAGTGGCAGAGATATGCACATCAATATTGAGGAAATTTCTTAATGATCCATTTGTACCAGCACCAAAAAATTGTTTACGCACTTCATGGCATTCACAACCATATACACGTGGCTCCTATACTGCTATGGCTGTTGGTGCAAGTCAATTAGATATTAAATATTTATCTGAGCCTATAGTGCAAGAAGATGATCCTTCAAAAATTATAATAACATTTGCTGGTGAACATACGCACTCTTCCTTTTACAGTACAGTACATGGAGCATATCTAACTGGTCGAACTGCTGCTCAAGCACTTTTGGAATCAAGAAAAAATGAAAAGAATTCATTGAGTCTTAGTTGCGAAGATACAAGTGATCTTAGTTCGTGGATACAAGGAATTTCCTTAAATTAAATAGTTATTTAAAAAAAAGAAAATAAAAGAAGATGAATCGGAAGTTGTCCTCTATATCGAAATTTTCACACAATTAAGCACAATTTATTACGTGGTACGAAAAATATTTTACACACTGTCGATTTGATGACAATTGTGATTTATAGATGTTTAGTATTAACGCGAAATCTTGTGAACTATTTTAATTTTGTAAATACTATAGCGAATTATTTATATTATGTACATAACAATGCCTGTTTAAGATTTTAAGACTTTATAAATGTACTTACGATTTTATCTACTATCATACTTTTCTTTTTAAATAACTGAGAAGGGATGACAGTTTTAAAATCGTATCACAAAATGATGCTTCATTTTATGGAATCACCTACAACATGAATTATAAAAATTTTATATATTTAATGCCATTGAATGTGCTTTTTACTTTTAATAGAAATTGATTCAGACGTCCATAATCATTAATCATTGCATTGAATAATGATTCATTTTTATTTTTAAAACAATGGATAAAATAAACTTAGTACAACATGACTTTAATTTGACGAAAAAATATTTATGTTTATATAGAAAATTTAATGATAATTATTAATATATAT